CCCCCCCACCCAACCAACTAAACAAACAAAAAAATGAATTTTGCCCGACTCCATCCAATGCAATAGCAGCAATCAGCAGCAACTTCACTCGCGCCGCTTTTGTCTGTCTCCTCGGTAGCAGTCAACCTTAGTCAGAACATTGCGACACTTCGCACCCCCACTTCACGACCACCACCATCATCACTACCATCTGAAGATGATGGATCAGAAATGTACCAAAATCCACAAGGCACAGTGAAGTGAAGCCAAAGAAGCCAACCAGCAGCAGACATGTTCACCAACCACAACCACCTCAGCGAAGCAGAAGCAGCAGCAGAAGTGAGCAATACCTACACTGCAAACGAGCTAGCGCAGCAAGTCCCACATACACCCCCTCTCTCTTTTCTTTTTCAGTCTCTTTTGATACCGCAACAGGACACCACCACCACTACAGTTCCCCAACCAAACACACACTTCCTTTTCCTTTGCTCGTCGACAGACTCAGCACAATGTCACTTTTTTCTGTACCTTTGTATTGGTTTCCTCTCTTTCTCGATACTTTTTGGTTCGTTTCATATTTTTGTCCCTTTTATATTTGCTATCATTTTTTATGAACTTTTCTCCTTCCTCCTTCTTCTCCTCTTGTTCAGTGTTACCATAAACATGTTCCCATAAACACAGCTGACCAGACACTCACACGCTGATTACATGTGTTTTTTGTATTCAAACTCTCTTTTTTTCTTATTATACACACACTGAAAGGGAAAAGGTGAAATACCCAATAACAAAGCGAACTGAGCACCTGTGTGGCGTGTGTTTCTGATTTGCAACCAGTGATTACAGTGCATACAACAACAATACCTACTTGCTACAATGCCCCCGAGAGTTGTCGTACACCACCACCACCACCCCTATGACACCACCGAGAGAACAACCTATTTTTGTTATGCCAACACACCTGCCTCAACAACTGTACGTTTGACCTGATGTATAAAATTTTGCCCAGCTACAGCTTTGTAGTCCTTTTTGTGCTTAGTCTTAATGCTGAGCGGTCACTGAGGGGACAGAGAAGTCAAGTACTGTACATAGGGTTGAAGGCAATCGCACACCCACACACACACACAGTTTGAGCGTGCTGTTCACTTTGCTATATTCGTATTCTCTGTACCACCACCACCACCTGACATATACGTGTCCTCAAAGTGCCACACAGAAAGTGAAAACATAATTACCAAAAACAAAAAACAAAAACAAAAAAATACCAAACACACCTACACTGTAGAGAGTGCTTCGAGCTCTAGATCGAAGTAGTGCTTATACTACTCTCACCAGTCTAGGCTACTGACAACCAGCCACTACACACACAATACACCCACACAGGCCTTTATCATATCTATGAAGACCACCCCCGCCACCACTATTTCCTGCTGTCTTCCTCTATTGTCATTAGTCGTCGATGTATTCTGTCTTCAATTTCAACAGCTTTGTCGTAGCCACTTCACCTTCTTCCTCCACCTGAAACGGCAAACTTCAAACAGTTTACCACCACCTCCGCCGCAACCACCATCAACATCACCACCACCACTACTGTTCATCAGCGTTCTTCATGTCTCTGTTTCTTCTTCTTCTTCTTCTTTGCTTTTGTCTTAGGCGATCTCTTTCCGCGTAAACTCCCTTTATCTCGCAGCATTTCACATTGATCTTCTCCTCTCACATAAATGCCCACTTTTTTCTTTCAGTTGACCATCTTTTAATAGTCAGGCAAACAGTACTAGTGCCAGTTACTCTACTTCATTAGTGGATCATCTCGCCCTACTTCTCTTCTACTTTATTGCGACCTTACAACCAAACAAACACTCACACACACCCCTTCCCTCCCTAAACTGTTATAACCTTCTCTATTGGCTGTTGTAATTCGTTAGAGAGAATCTATTACGCTAAGCATTGCTTTTACTCTTGCTTTTACTATTATCACTACCACCACTACTACTGCTATCACTATTTTCTCCCTTCTCTTGAATGATGTCAACTGAACTACTACTTCCTGTCTGTGTTCCAAATTACGAACGGTTCTCCGAAAACAAGTGAAAACAACCACTTTCACACAAACAAACTCTACTCAACTATTTCAACAAAAGACATTGCTAATAGTGACAACTGAAGAAGAAGAAAAATGATGAAGATGAAGAATGATTATGATTTAGTGAGAGGTGCGCCGTTGTTGCTGAATGAAGACTAGTTTGAGCTATCTCAGAGCGAACTAGAAGCAGAAAGCGACCACATTGCACAGTCGACTACCTCGTCTGGTCAGAATCGGTCGGCGATTGCCGCAATCACTGACTCGGACTCTGATTCAACAGAATATCTACCCACACACACCAACACACACACACCTATGCGCGCGCACGAATTCGGGAGCAACACCACACCTGGCGGCTTGACACAAACACACCTGAACTAGTATCATGGTATCATCATCACCACCATCAACACCACCACCACCTCTCGAAACGGGCAAGCCGGTCAACTTGCGGACAGTGATCCCAAAGTATTTTTGTATTACACGCTGAAGATCTTCAGACGTACGAATTCTACTTTTGTTATGAGTCTCAGTCTGAGTACTGTCATGGTTTTTGTAACTTTTTGGGTCCGATTTAATAAAAACGTGCAACAAAATGCAACTCTTTCCAGTGCTGTACCATTACTTTGAATGAGAAACTGAAGAGTGAGAGAGTGAGAGTGAATTTTGAACTGGAAACGGTTACGTCATCTACGGAGGGTCTGCCAAAACTCGATTTTTTGCAGTTTGTTTGTTTTTTGTAAGCGCATGCTGATTTTCATTTTCAAAACACCAGATTACCGGTCTCATTTTTCGCTGTTTTTATATCTTCTTTTTTGTGTCATCAAGTTCCACTATGGTCATGTCCTCCACCTCAACTGCAGACAACGGAATCGCTTCAACAGCAGGTGACGCCGAGATAAACAACGCTAAAAAGTTTGATCTCGAGAAGTGCACTGAACTGCGCTTCGAGGTAGCCGATGATCCAGTGATTATCCGTCTGGTGCAGGGCAAGGCCGAACTTTTTGGCACTGAACTTCGCCTAGAGCAAAAGTACACCTTTAAGAAGGGCGACAAGGTGGCCATCTTCACTTATCATGGCTGCAAAATCAAAATGATAGGAAAGCCTGAAGTGGACTACGTTTCTGCAGAAACACCAATGAACTTTTACATCAACATAAGCAATGCTCTTGAAGGAGCTCGTGTCAAGGCAGCAACTGATAATGAACACGGACCTAATGTTCTGGTTGCTGGTCCACCCGATGTCGGAAAAAGCACGTTTTGCAGAATACTGCTCAACTATGCAGTTCGTAGCGGGAGAAGTCCAGTTTATGTTGATCTCGATCTCGGTCAAGGCAGTATCAGTATTCCGGGCAGCATTGGTAAGTTTTTGTTATCACCTTTTTCTGTAATGCTTTGATTTTACATTTATTGTTTAATTTCAGGCGCTGTTGTAATTGAAAAGCCAGCCGAAGTCGAGGGATCATTTCAAATGACTGCACCAATCGTCTACCACTTTGGTCATTCAGGACCCGGTAGCAATCAAACGTTATATGATCTAATTATGGGCTCTCTTGCCGAAGCGATTGAGAGAAAGAAAGCAGTCGACTCAAGTGCAAAGTTCTCCGGTACGATTATCAACACCTGTGGCTGGGTACTTAACTATGGCTACCAGTCAATTCTGCAAGCAGTGAATCACTTTAAAGTTGACGTCGTTCTTGTCATCGACCAAGAGAGGCTTTTCAGCGAACTATCTCGTGAACTCGCAAAAAGTAAACCTGACATAAAGGTGCTGCTTGTTCCGAAAAGTGGCGGTGTTGTCATGCGATCTCAAGAACACCGGTAAGTGTTGAATTGATGTGATGCACCGTTTTGTTTTGCTAATTGCTTTATTTCTCTGCAGGGCTGACATGCGCGACCAACGAATTAGGCGATACTTTTATGGCACACCTTCCAAACCATTGTACCCATTTTCGTTTGATATTCCCTTTGCACAGTTCACCGCCTACAAAATAGGATCTCCCAACCTGCCCACCTCTTGTATGCCTCTTGGGATGACTGCACAGGACAACTCCACAAAGCTGTTGCCAGTTCTTCCCACTGCAGATCTAGTCAATCACCTGTTGGCTATTTCTCAGGCCACCACCGATGACGTGAGCAAAGCCACTACTACGAATATTCACGGTTTTGTGGCCGTCACCAATGTAAACCCGGAACGTCAGGTAGTTACTGTCCTCTCTCCACAACCACGTCCTTTGCCCAAAAACTGCATTCTCCTCATCTCTGACATTCAGTTTGTTGACCTTGAGTGAGGAGCTAGAGGAAGGAGCTTGGGTTTTAAATTATTTATACATTTTTTCTTTTTGTTATGAATTCATATACATGTTTCAATTTTTTAATAAAAGAGCACCGGTAAAACGATTAAAGAATTTAATAAATTAAGCTTTTATCCGGGGTGAGCTAGTGATAAAGTTAAAGTTGAAAAGCTTTTGCTAGAAAGTCACGTAGAGCTTTCTCATGATAAAGCAGAGAATGATGTCAAAAGTGAAAAGACACGCTCGCTGAAGACGGTTCTTTTTTCCGTTGTAACACTCAATGATGAATTATTCGAGATTAAGGCCCTCTCAAAATCAATGTCGTAGGAGTAGGTTGTAAAGGACAGTAGCGGTCTTTAGAAATTGTCAGTTTGTAGTAGTTGGCCAGCAGCTCAATTGGGCGTTTTGTAGGCCAGTTCCTGTGTGACATTGCTTTAAAAGCTAAGCATCAATTTGTTGGAGCGTTCTGGTCAAAACCAAAGCTGCAGTCAACGCCGCCTCCTCGGTTTCGGCGAAATCCTTTTTGGGTGCTTTCAGAGCCGCTTCCTTCTTCAAGGTCGGCTGAAACCGCCTTCTCCACGTCTTCTGAAATGATAAAAAGTTAGATTTTAAACGAAAAGTAATCAAGGGGTACTCACTGTAATCAGTCATGAGAGGACTGTGAGCCTTGGTTGATCAAGAAAGAAAGATTTGGAAGGGAAATGTGAAAAGAGCCAGGGAAAGTGATGACCGTCTTCTTGGCAAGTCAAAGTATCAAAGACGAACTGATGTCTCGTTGATGTTGTCTTTTGTACAGTTTTCAATGTTTGTAAGCATGCGCACTTTCATCAGATTGTTTGATTGACTTGACTATAGATTTTAGAGATAAAGAAATACATTTTTTTATTTTTTATTTTTTCCATTTTCAATTGAATATAGAAGCTATCAACGGCTCAACTAACACACACATTGGTAACAAATATAGTATTGGAAACAACAAAACAAAAAGTAGTGAAAGTGAGAATAATGATGATGATCAGTGAGTGGTGATGATAAAGAGACAAAATATCATTGTAAGTGTGACAATAAATAAGAAAAAGTGGCGATGGTGGTGGACTTTGAGAAAAGAGCAATCGATCATTACCTGATCAACTGAAACAT